TCCTTACCCCTCCGTTGTCTCCGTATTTCCTGAAACTGTTGAAAGAAGAATACCCGTTTAGATAATCGCTGAGAGATTGTTTCCGTAATTATTTGTAACATCTGAACTGATGTCTAAGGTGAGATGTGTCTGGAATCCCCGATAACCACGTCAGGTGAACGCAGCAAGGCAGCCGACTCGTACTGCTCTGCGCTTTCAAGTTTTTTTTAACAAGAAAAGAGAAACAATGGACAAGCAACATGTTTGCCGCTACGCGAACGGAATCAAAAGTTCTGAAGCGTCCCGAGATCCACTTGCTTTTTCTTTTGTCGTAAGTCTCATATTCCTTAGAACCTAATATTCAGTACATAACAGAACAAGAACCATTTACGATGCCCAAAATATGGACTCTTACTTGAAACCGACGTCAGGACCGCACGGTCCTACGAGAACGTCGCTTCCAGAAAGCGCACGCCGTAAAATAATCAAACCAGTGCGTTGTTGGCCACAACGACGTAATAGTGGCCTTCAAATAAACTGACAATGGTCACTCCTCTATGCACTTCAGGGTACCAAAACTACTGTGAACACGACGAACTCCGGAAACCTTCACACTTTCCTGCCCAAAACAAATGTAATGATAGAAAATGATGAAAACAGTTGAACCATCGATCCAAGATAGACGGCGTGGTCCGTACGCACCACACAAGTTGACTGTGCGCATGTTAGTTGTGCACGTGAGCCAATTTGCTTAGGTGGATGCAACCAGCACCGTAAGCTGCAACTCGCAAGCTGACTGGGCGTCATAGGCCCCGTGTCGCATGTTAGTCGTGCACGTCAGCTGGGTTCGTTTAACTGGATGCCATGAGCGACATAACCTGCATCTCGCAAACTGAGTGGGGAGTCATGCAAATAATGTCCGTTTAGGTGGACGGCATGAGTGACGGGAGCTGCATTCAACGTACAGGGGTGACTTAGTGATCGTAATTAACAGGTTGGGGTTTCTCTTTGAACAACGGCTGTGTTCGATGGAAAGCCTTATACTTAGTGGCCCACGCGACTAATCTGTGATACCTCCACGGTAATGCCTACGGAACACATATTATCTGACACCATCTGTAAACCACGGCACGGCTGCCAGTAACTAAGGCGTGGTGCTTCCGGGGAGATAATAAAACAGGTTGTCAGAGAAAATTCGACGTACAGGACTTTATTACTGCATAAACGAAGCATTCGTTCGCCATTATCCATTTTATTAAGGGTATTCTCACAGCTTAGTTCTCGGTCTAAACCTTCCAAGCTAGCGTCCCCGTCAAAACAGCCACCGAAAATACCCGTGAAATGACGTCGAAAACCAGGTAAAAAAACATGTCTACAGTGCCTCATATATAACGTGTGTGCGGCGGTAACGCTCTGAAAATTCTGATACCATCTGGATGCGCCAGTGGCAACCAGCATTTGGTGGATACTAGACCATGGTTGGCTGTTGGGTCCAAACTTTCGGTCAACCAGAGCTCACCATGATGTTGAACCGGCAAGCGGCCCGATGCTCTCGCCAATCGCGTGCGTGATAGGCTTTTTGGCCGTACCAGAGCCTAACTGCGAGCGGCAAAGCGGTGTTGGTGCGGAATTCTGCGTAACATCCGTACAAGCGGAGTTTAATTCATGTCGGCCACCTGACTGAGTCTGACGAGCTATCTACTTACTTGTACATTCAGACCACCGATAACCACAACCACTGCTGAGCTTTTAGCCCACAACATGCATCATCATCATCATCGACAGCATGACATCAGTGCTCAACACCAATGCTTCACTCCCGTACAACCATGACTTATTTGAAAGCCTTATTGTAGAGAAAAGAATAAAGGTGGATGGGGGAGGGACTTAGTGCTAGCTTAACACAATCACTCCGAGGTGCCTACATCTCCAGACATTCACTCAAGCAATCTGGATAGAAACTGACAACAAGAACGCCCCTGACATCGGTTGGCAGCCATATCTTGTAGTGTCTCCA